TTCTCTTTTTTTGTCCTTTTTTTTTAAAAAAAAACAAAAAAATATAATAAAGTATAAATGGTGAGATATATTTACCGATATTTCTTTACACGTTATTCAAAACAATTCTTCAAGTTTTATAAGATTCCAAATCAATTTAGATTCTTCTAAAATCTTAAAAGTTCGAACAAAAATCTATAATCATTTACAGTATTCGAAGAGATTTGAATATTTTACACAATTACAGAATAATTTTTTTTCTCACAATAGCTTCTGAAATTTACAAAATAATCAAACAATGACTCTTGAATTTATGTAAAACTATCCCGGTAAACTATGTTATAGAACTCACTTATAAAAGGTTTTGTTACTGATTATTTAGTTTCGTTAGCAGCACAAGGCTCAGGAGACTTATAGTGACTATAATCTCCATCTTCGAGAGTTAAATCATGATTGGAGCATGATTTGATAAGAGTGACACATCCCTGTAAAGTTTTAATCTAAAAGGTTTAGATGCAAGTCTCTATTCTTGTAACAAATTTTTTTTTTTTTTTAAAAAAAATATCCCTCCTATATAACTTATGAAATTTAGTTCTTGAATATCTCAAAAAACTTATCAAGCAAGCTATTCTGCAGTTAAAGTTGATACTACCTCCGTCCTCTTAAAGTAATCCAATTTAAAAAACTAAAATATAAACATTAGATGACTTAATCTTGCAAATTAAAAAATTAATTTGAAAAATTGAATAAGGTTTCATGACTATATATCAATTTAATAATTAATTTTAGGTTATACCAATTATTAGATTTGTTTACATTTTTAAAATTGGATTTTTTTTTGGAATAGAGGTGGTACTATTTTAGATTTTTTCCATACGAACTTTATGTAAATATTTTGGGATACTAATTACTAATCAATTAGCTAGAAACATTATATTGACTGCTTTTTTTGGGTGTGTGTATGCTGAAAATTTTGGTTGAAAGCTTACAAATAAGAAATATCCATGCCTTTGTTTTAAAATAATTGTCTCGTTTAAATTTTCACTTTTGGTATAATCATTTTTGTTAACATTATATTTACTCCTTTGTACTAAAATGATTGTCATGTATATCTTGTATACCATTTGTACAAGATATCTTTTATACCATTTGTACTAAAAATTAAAAATGTAAATCAAACAATTATTTCAGGAGTGAGAAAATAAATATTAGGAAAATGGTTTAGACAAATATTAGGTGCAATACAAAAGTATTAACAATATATATATATATATATAATATTGTTTTTGTCTTTGAACTTTTGAGACCAAATGTAAAAACTTTCTTTTTGCTAATAAGTACGTTCAACGAAAGACACCAGAGAGAAAACTACATGCAGTAGTTAACTTCAAGCTCATTAATTCAATAAAAATTAAGGCATAATTAGGACATCAAAATCGTTGTTGATCAAAATAGGTTAAATTAGAAGAGCAGTTGAGCTTAGGAATTGATTAATCTACTGCTGTTGTTGGCTAGCACAGCAGCGGCTAGCCATTTTCATGGCTTCTTTTATAAACCATCATCTGTTTCAAAGTTTAGCTTTTGTTTGTTAGCTTTTCCTTTGTTTCCCTTTGAAAGTAGTGAATGCTGTATCTGATAATTACTGCTTCGACTTGTAATATTTGCGTGGTTATTGCTATTGACTTCCTCCTCATGTTAGTTTTATCGGGTACTTTTGTGTTTGTTTTCTGACGAAAAGCTTTGATGTTTTGACTGATTGATCAGTATCCCGAAAATAATTTTTTTTGAATTTTGTCTCTAAATATAATTTCATACGAAAAATAAAATTTTTTATCTTATATTTATTTTGAGACAAAAGAATAATATATATGATTTGCTTATCTCAGAATCGCTCATTCTTTCTCTTTAACTTAATTGTGTTTGGAAAAAATGACAGGGACAAATGATCTTATAGTGACTCAAAAAAGTATAAGAGGTGACCTTAAAATAATAGTTTTAAAATTGGTCCTTGAAGATGACACGTGCCTTTGCTTTTCAACAAAATGAGCTTCTTTTTTTTTTTTTTAATTAAAAAAGAGGTGTAGAACAAGTAATTACTACCAACTTCAAGAACTTAGCACTTTTATGTGGTGAAAAAAATGAAAATAAAATAAGAAAACATGTCCATCCGACTTTCTTTTTTAATTCTTGGGCGAACTTCATTTTACCCCCAAGTTTTGGCATGATTTATCATAAACTCCTCAGTAATACTACAATATATCCCCTTGATTGATTGTCAATCTATTATATGTCTCCTTAAAATACTAACATCATCATCAATTATGCGTAAACAATAAAAAAAAAACCCTTTAATCCATATTTTCTAAATTGTAAAATTTTAATGTTTTGCAAATATATCATAAATTATGTTAAAAAAATATTTCATATTAATTTTTATATTAACTTAAATAATAAGTTTTCTAAGTTAAGTATATCATCTCTTTCGAAATAAAATAATCTTCACTAGATATTATTCTATTTTTTTTTAAACATAATAAATTATATTATTAATTATGGATTAAATTTTATTAAGTAATTTATGTTATAGTTAAATGTGAAAATAACAAATTGATTCATTTTAGTGGCCAAAAAAAAAAAAAACCAAAGAAAAACAAACTGAAAGGCAGGAATGAAAATGAAACAAACTGAGAGGCAGGAATGAAAATGAAGTATATGTAAAGTTTAACCGTAGTCATTTTATTAACATCAATTTTTAATCGCTACTCAGTGGATATATGATATATTATCCAAATTCATGGAGTTCAAGGTAGATCATGCCAAAACTCGAAGGGTAAACTGTAGCTCGCCTTTAATTCAGTCTCTATTCTAGATTTCTTATCAATGTGCTTCTGTTGGATAGTTATAAGATTGCTTGAATGTACGCAAATCGGGCGTTTTTTATTTTACAACTTTGCTTCGTAAAAGTATAAGTATACTTATCCTTCTTCTCTATTTCTCTAATGATGCCACTTTCTCTGTCCCAGACAATAATTTTGAGTACTAAATAATGCCAATAAGACAATAATAAAGTATCAAAATGTTATTCCACGTGTCTCAAGAACATAGTCTATATTGAATTTTTAAATTTATAATAAAACTAAAACTAGTTCAAATTTGAAAACTCAATAAAAAACAATTTTTTCGAAGTAAAATATGTATGTTTTTATCTTTCTTTTGTTATAGTTTTTTTTTCCATTTTTGTTAAGACAACTCTGTATTTCAATATCTTACAATTAAATTGTGTGCTTAGTAGTTCTTGTAAATAATACTTCTCCCCTAAAATTTCACAGCATTCAAAAATCACTCAATTACCGTATTCAAATTACTATTAAATTAAATACTATGTTCGAACCCTATCAACCTCAAGATTAAAATCCCCGCATTTTTCACGTCCCTTGTTTTCTTGTGTATAGTAAGAAGAAAAAAAGCACTCCATCCAGATTCAACACAACACTGCTGTCCGTATCAAATAATATATACTCCTCTTCTTTATTATAAGACATTTTGAAACATTTTAATTTCATTCTAAGTTTGACCTAAAATATCTTTTTAATTGAAATAAAAACCTTAAAAATATTTCATAATAATTAGAATAACACAACAAATATAAAAATATATTTTTAAAATTTTTTTTCTAATTAAAAAGACATTCTAGGCTAAACCTAGAACGAAATCAAAATAACTGATAATAAGGACAAGAGGGAATACCAGTTTACTCATTGAATTGGTTTGGTTAGAATTTCTTAAATTCATTTACACAATTACATAATTAGGATATTTCCTAATACAATAACTCAATGAATGCCTTATTTCTGTGTCTCAATGTACAAATTAATAAGCAGTATCAACAAAGCAAAACATTTCCATCTAACTTCACATCTTTCTGTACGTACCACAAATCAAAATGAATTTTAGAAACAATAGCTTACGTTCTCCAAACCTTGTCAAGTTTCTGCTCAAATTAGTTTCTACCTTTGAAGCAATGCCTCCGCCCGGTAAAGTCGTACAATGCAGATCAAACCCATACTCTGATTGTGCTTAGAGGAGCGTGAATTCGATTGGAAAGACAATCGATCATAACTCATAACGAGGATTGTTCACTGAAATGGCTATCATCTTCAGACAATATGTGCAAAGTACCGCAATGTGAGGCGAAAAAATGATTATTCACAGTTTCATTAGACATTCTCTTCTCTTCCTATTCATATACTCCCTCGTAGACAGGAACTGATTAAATGAGCTCAAAGTTGCATTTAGAGAGTCAAGATCATAAGTTTTCCTGGTAAGCTATACTTGCCGCAATCAATCCAAGTTCCCTTCCCCGAAATGCCCATCAGAAACAACAAAGACATTGGATATACTCCCTCGTAGACAACAACTGATTAAACGATCTCAAAGTTGCATTTAGAGAGTCGAGATCATAGCTTTTCCTGCTAAGATATACTTGCTGCAATCAATCCAAGTTCCCTTCCCCAAAATGCCTATCAGAAACAACAAAGACATTGGAGCTTATGCAAAAAGATGCAGAAGAAAACAATAAGCAAATACAAAAGACACGTATCGAAAGTATCCCAAAAAATCATTGACAGAAACAACAAAGAAAAAAGTTGCTGCGTTGCTACATTAAAAATATGGGACCCATATCCTTAAACCAGTGCTAACATAAAAAACAAAGAAACAGGCCTGTTAGGAGAGACAGGTAACGCTTGGTTAAAAATGACAGAAAAAAGATGAGTGATTTTCCATTTGTTTCATATAAAAATTTAGGAAAACAAATGAACGCAACAATTTACCTTTGATGCAAATGCATAAACTCGTTTGTCGATGTGTTCAAAGAACGCTTCATGCAGCAACCAGGCAAGTTAGTCAGCATCAATGCATAATCTGTTTAAGCATTCAGTCGCATGTAAGCTACCAAATGCAATTTCCCATATAATAGCATGACTATCAACAGCAAGTGCAATGCCACTAGCAAAACTGAATCAATCACACTCAAAAAACCGCGCCACTGCTGAATAAAGCTGTCCTTCTTCAAATGGTTTAGATACATAACCATCCATTCCACACTTTATGCACTTCTCATTTGTTGCTTGGCTTACATCGGCCGTCATAGCTAATATTGGTGTGTGCCACTGAGAAATGTTGGCCAATATAGGTGTTGGTAACTCACAAGATTCACTTTTATCATTATACTTCCTCTCAAGATCACGAATTTGCTCAGTAGCTTCAAACCTAGGAAAGGACCAAAAAAGCAAAATAGAATTAGAGAATATAAACATTACATTGATAAGTAGTGGAAAATTCTAATCATGATCTTCTGCACTATAAGTGGTGTTACTATTGACCTGAAAACAGTTACTGGGGTTGCTCTAACATGTAAGAATATTAGAACTTATTAGCGTGCCTGACCCTGTTGAAGATTTAGTGAACCTGGTAGCTGGACAACAGAAGTGACCCTAGCATAGTAAACTTAAATGGTTAATCATAGACCAAAAATCCTAGGAAACATCTAATCATGTAATTCAGGTTACAAAGACAAACAGGTTTCCTCTCACAACATAAACTAAAACCTTAATCTTAACTGTTAATTAGCAGCAATCTCTGTTATGTCCATTACTGCACACCTGAAAAGAAGATGAAAGAAAGGTAGATTATTTACCCATCCATTAATGGCATTTGAAGATCCATAAAGCAGGCATCGAAATTATGAGGTGGATCAAGTAGCTTTAAAGCAGCCATTCCATTCCCTACACAGGTTACAATAGCTCCATACTTCTTCAAAGCAGCTTCCGCAACTCTTCTGTTCACAGTATTGTCATCCACAACCAATATGTGTTTGTTTGCAAGAAGGTTCCCAAGTGTTGGTGGTTTCCCCTTCCTAACTAAACTATCTCCTCCAAATCCGGTTGCTTCTTGGAGGGATGACAGTAACGCACTCAACCTAAGTGGCTTAATTAACACACTGTCAACTAAACCAGATGATTTAAATTCTATCTGATCCGAAGGAGTAGTGCTGGTAGCCAATAGAAAGAGCTTTGGCGTTGGCGCCCTTTCCAAATTTGACGTAGATGCAATTGATCTGAGTCCTTTAAGTAGACTAAATAAAGGATGGTATCCTTCACTGGCCCAGTATTCTTTATCAATAACTATCATATCTAATGGCTCCAATGCCCTGTACACAAAAGACAGAGAAACTTTCAGCAAATAAACCATCAAATAATCATTATCTAAGTTAAGAATGATAGATTTATAAATCATCATTGGAGAGTACATTCAAGTATTTTCTCTACTTATGGGAAATTGAGTTGTGGATCTACAAATAATGTCTAGACTAGAAACTAGTAATCGATAATCCAAATACACAAACTTAACGCAGTTTATATTAGAGAAGCGGATGCAGTAACATGGATAGTAAAATAGTACTTAAGCGCTGATTATGAACAACCTTAATTTTCAACTTCTGATGACAATCAAATTAATGTAACTTCAATCATGACTGGACTCACATCACTTTGAATTAGTTTTACTTCAATCATGTCACTTACCCTGATAACTAACGTCCATTTCGTAGTCGATTCTCTACTGCAATTTAAGGACACCACTGATCCTAATCTGTATTAAAGTTCAGATTTGATATGGTATCTGAGTATCATATGCTGACTGCAATCCTAAACTAGGCATAGGTTATAAAGTATAAAACTTTTTGAAGCACAGGAGCTCACATCAAGACTTTATCATTTTTCATATATATAACATACCATGATTGCTCTGACAGGAAGAACATAGGAGCTCACATAAAGACTTTATCATGTTTCATATATATAACATACTATGATTGTTTTGACAGTAAAGAACAAAGAGAGAAGTTACCTCTTTTTGACATAAGAAATATAAGAGCAAGCAGAATCTGTTCCGGAAGCTACATCAACCTGTACACCCAGTCTTTTAAGATGGTATCTCGTAACCTCACCTCTAAAACCTCTCTCATCAACCACCAGGGCTTTTAATCCCCGAAATACTGAAACAGCTTCATTATGCAGCTTCAGATGAGCAATATCAACAGGAGTGTGTTCTGGTTTGCTAAATGTTACAGTAAATGAAAAAGTACTTCCAATTCCACGTTCACTTACAAAACCAATTTCTCCGCCCATAAGATCCACTAGTCTCTTACTGATACTCAGACCTATTCCTGTTCCTCCATGAGTACGGGATGTGGAACTATCAGCCTGCATAAAAGGTGTGAAAATGCGGTCTTGAGCTTCAACAGGGATTCCCTCACCAGTATCTTCAACAGTCACTAACAATTTAATCTTTCCAGACTCGTCTCTGGTGCCACACATGCTTTTGAAATTTTCCCAACTCTTCCATCTGTCAACAATCGGAAACCCACTCAATGTATTTGAAGAAGCCACCGGACCATCCTGAGCTAGTATTAAGCTTTGTCTGAGAATTTCATCCCTTACATTGAGGGCACCACCAACTTCATCAGCTAAGTGAACAGTCACAAATATGTGTCCCTTATCCTTGTCTTTTGTGAACTGGAACACAGAAAGCAGACAAGGCTCATTAAATTACAAGCTCAACCAAAAATAGGTGATGGATAAAGACCATTGTATCTAATACAGAAAATTCTGCTGCAGAATAATAGAAACTGTTTTGAGCAGCCTCACCAATAGCTGCCAAGTTCCAAGCAATGGCGAAGCCAGGGGTTCGCTAGCCACCCCTTTGAAATTTATTAGGAAAAAATGAATGAGTTCAATTTCGCACCACTTTGAACATTTTATAATAATAATTAGTAAATTTTTAGCTCATTTATATACAAAATATTTTAAACAATATCATTTATATACTCAAATATGTAAATCTCAAGTATGGGGAAAAAAAACAGCAAAACTTTACAAAAAAATGTTATTAGATTTTTTTTCCCCTAAAAGGTCACGATTTGAAATCCATTAACAACAATAAAATTGCAAGTCAAGGCCCAAACCAATTACAACAACACAATTAAAATTAAAGTCTTGTATTCCCTCCCAACAAACAAAAAAGAGGGAAAAAACGCCAAAGTTAATGGGCCAAAGTAAGGTTTTTAATAGGCAAAAAACTTATTAGAAAAAGTTAAATGGTCAAATCTATTTATCTGCTGGATTCATCAATGCTCAAACAACGTGGACAGGCCCACTTTGATTAATTCAAATTAATTATACTAATTTCTTTCTTATAGTGATTCAGTGCAGTAGAAAGGATTCATTTTGTTTCTTATATAAAAAACTTTTTTAACTTTTGTTCTAATTTGCCCCACATAAAATACATCTTAAATAATAGATTTGAACCCCATAACTTTATTACTTATAGTTGCAAAAAATGCGTAAAATATTAATGAAGTAGTTCCAACTAAGTTGTTACTCCCACTGTCCCAAAATTATTGTCCAGTTTGAGATTTCACTTCTAGTACAATTTGAACTAAAAATGACAAAACCGGACAATAATTTTGGGACGGAGGGAGTATAAAATTTTGAATGAGAAAAAAAATTCATTTTAGAATCTTTTTTTTTTATTACTTATAATTTCTTTTAGTATTAAGTACTTTATATTGATTTCATTTCTCATTTTGACTCTGCCGCTGCTTCCAACAAAAAATCATTCAAAAGCACAACTGATTTTTTTTTTTTTTTCAATCCGTTGATTGCACAATCTAAAACAGATATCTAGATCTTCATGACTTAATTGTACACATTTTCTATCAGAACACTGGCAATTTCAGAAAGGCAACCAAACTAGCCAATCAGAAAAATTCTATAGCTGCAACTTTCTAGTTAGAATTGTCGTTTGTTTTCCATTACTGAAGTGCAATGTATTTTTTCTTTTTCAATTTCTATTGCTAATGTGAAATTAAGGAGTCGCATCATAATCACATGTATTCAAGTCTGGAGGAAGAATTTCTACTTTCTGGCAAAACTGAACTTCCATGATACCCATTGACGCAGTAAAGACTTCACATTATTTCCTAAACAATTGGGTGCATAATTGTACTCCAAAAGTTAACTGGCATATCACTTCCTGATAATTCTTAGATGATGTATATTTCAGTTGACATTCAACAATGAGGCTTGAATTGCTATCTGAAACAAGCCATATTGTCTAAATCATTAAAAACTTTTTCTAGGTATAGCGACTCTTATGGAAAAGTAGATTACTATGATCAACGAATGAAAAGGACATTACTATGTTCACAGACCAAGGTTTCCTAAATTGCTTTATAAGGAGAGTAAATTTTACAAGTAAAACTTTTCCTATCTATTTCACTTAGAAATGCTGAGTCAATGAAAATAACCAAACCTTAATTGAGTTTCCAACAAGGTTCATTATAATCTGCCGGAATCTTCCAGGGTCTCCAATAACAACTTGTGGCACCTGGTCAGAAACATATACAGCCAGCTACACACCCACAGAAGACAGACAGAAAAAGACAAGACATTATATCTTTACCAGAAATGGGTAGTGACAAAATAGCCGAAAGAAAGGGATCAGTTTATACCTCAATTTCTTTTTCATGAGATTTTCCAGACAAAAGTGACAAAATTTTATCTAGATCAGCTCGTAGATCAAAAGGTGCGGCCTCTAGCTCTAGCCTTCCTGATTCAATTTTAGCCTGATCCAAGACTTCATTTATCAATGCTATTAAATCTTTTCCACTAGCATGCGCAGTCTCAGCATAGTCTCTTTGGATGTCATCCAAATTAGTATCCATTAGCATCTGAAGCATACCTGAAGTAAATCCCAGAGTCTGTCACTCCAAGAATAAGAAAATCATAAATCAGCACTGAACACAACTTTGTTCAATTACCTAGCACACCATTCATTGGAGTCCTGATTTCGTGAGAGACTGTAGCAAGAAACTACATTGGAAAAGAAAATTGTAAGAGCAGCACCCATTTGGGGAGAGAGATTGCAGAACAGCAATAGATTCTAAGGAGAACCAATAACCGAATTAAGAAGGCAATTTTATGCCATTCTAACGAGATAAAAATGTGAAGGAATTTTCTTTGCAAAAAACACCTGTGACTTTGCTACATCGGCTGCTTCAGCACGGTGCTTGAGCTCCATCATCTCATGATAGTCATCCTCCACTTTATCAATTTCGTTTATAGCTGCACGAAATATGTGACCTAAAAGAAAAGTAATAACAAGGACTCCACCAGATGATGTTATAACAGTCCAGGGTAGCGGTGGTTTTTGCTTGAACCTGGGGCCAGAAGCAGACAAGGTTAGACAATAAGCATTTGCTGAAATTGTCAGCAGAGCAGTAATTACAAAGGAGAAACGATAACCTGCAATGCATCTCGTGCTTTCTAGCGGGGTCACCAAAATCAAGATTACTTATTCGAAGCAGTCCCGTATCAACTACATCTTCACCATACATCTTAATTGGAGAGGACTTGTTTGTTGTATCATAAACATGCACGACAATTGTTTGTTTACTAGCTAGCTGGTGCAGAAGCTTCTCAACTAGTGAAGGGACATCATAAGAAGCACCAAGGTACCTTTAAAAGAAGGGCCGCCATTGCAAATGGAAGAATATATATTTTAGAGATCAGGATCCAAGAATGAGAAAGTAATACAAGAAGGATAATGTACCGACGATTGAGACATCCCAATAATATGAAGGAAATAACTTACCCGACAGTAGCATTGACACGTTGCTGTGGTGCAGCATCAGGAGGTAGATCGGTATTATAAACAGCAAATGTGAGCACAACTCCAAGGTGATTGGATTTTAATAATTTGAAAGGTGATGTTAGGACTCCTTTCCCAGAAGCTCTTGCTCTCAAGATGTTTTCTCGGTCCTCCTGTATAGCAATGGCAGAAAGCACAGTTCTTCAATTAAATCCAGCTGCCAAACATATCTGGCACGGGAAGAAAATAATTTTGGCACTTCAAATATTTTCCTATAAATGATTCTTCTTCTAACTCACCAGTTCATGTTTCCCCTATTAATTTTCTCTTTCCTTCCCACGTCTCTGTTGCCTATTCTATCTGAGTTTCTGAAACTAAATTGGTACTCTCTAAAACAACAGCCAAACTGAAATGTCTACAGCCCAATACTATACATTGCGAAATTTGCTGCATTTCCAAACTAATGAAGAAATGTCTACAGCTCAATATATATGAATTGGAAAACTGTTGTGTTTGCCAAATGAAGAGCATTGAGTGAGATAATCAATCAAAACGGCATAATACCTTCCCAGACATCATGTCTATTGAAACAATATGAGAGACCGTTTTTTGTGCAAAGATAACAGGTGCATATTCTTCTTGAACAGGTGAAGGCTCCAAGTTTTCAGGCACGAGATCTTGAGATAAAGTTTGATCCTCAGTATCCATTTTTCTTATTTTCCATCCTTGCTGCTTTTCAAAATTTTCCCTCATTGAGTGAAGAACCCTTAAAGCATAGGCAACACCGCTTGTTAGGGGTCTTTCGAACGCTGTTTTCTCTGTATAAGCTTCAAAAGTTTTCTGCAAAACACAGACGGTGTACTTGTTCAACGACGGAGATGAGATGATAATACAACTAGCGCAAAAAATCAGTACTTGGAGCTGCATTGTCCTACAAGAGCAACACCAAAAGAGCTTAACATTTTCAATACAAATTAAGAAACTGGGAATCCCAACCTGATTTAATACAGAAGACTCCTTCTCGTGGTAAAATGAAGATACAAGAATAGCCAAAGCATGAACATGGTTCAAGCTCACATTAAATTGATCCTGTAGCATGCGAGCCCTTTCATCGCACATGCTAGTCAGCATCTCTTTGTTCTTTGACCAGTGATCTTTACTCAAGTACCAAAACAGCCATATGCATATAGATATGCCAAAGCAGACACCAATAACAAGGAACTTTCTCCTCCAGCTACCAGTGCTTCTTGATGAACTTCTATTAGGTGGGTGTGGTGGCTGCAGCAGTTGGGGTGGATCTGTCAGCTGCTGCTGAACCGAATTCTTCTTTTGATTTCTCCAAAATTTCAATATTTGCGTGCTCGACACAATTCCAATGAGAATCCAAAACCAGCTGATATTTGCGAAGGTGAGTATCACTCTAAAGTGATTGATGGCAAACTTAGCTTGAGGCTTCGTGTGTAAGGTATCCTAAACAAGGCAATTATGGCAATTTCAATATATCAAACTTACCAAAAATAAAACTATTTTGCACTGTAGCTACCCATATTAGCACAAAGAAAAGCCATTAATATGTTGCAGAGCACACAAGCCCAATAGAATAGACATTTAAAACTTGCGTATTAAACATTAAATGCTCAAAAGAAACTCCACATAGATTTTACTTATTCAGTTCTGGCCAAAGTCTACGGAATTGTTGCCATCATATTAGCACCGGATGAGATAAGTAACTGACTCTTAAGAGGCTCTACCTCACAAGAAAGTTGGTGATCTTGATTTACTGATGAACTATACCACATTTTCAGAAACTGCAAGTCGAGATCCTTGGAATTGTTGTCATCATGAGCAGGGCACTGATCAATATGCTTACAATTTTCTTCCACTAAATTAAATGATTGTTCAACTAAGCCACTGGTAGAACTTAGCAACTTCAAAGCACATGTAAAGCTATTACTAGAAATTTGACGTCCACGCTGTTTGCTACATGTCAAGGATGAGATCTGAAAATGTAACATATAGGCAATGTTATGTCACTTGAAAGTTGAAACAAACTCATGAAGATTCAAACAATTGGAATAAGAGACAACTGCCATGTAAGCAAACTGTGAGGGAAAAAAAAGTCTAAAGTGTTAAATATTCACATTGGTTTCGCAACTGTCATATTACCTCATGCATACCTACTTAGAAACTAAAGTCCAACCAAGTTGTTACAAGATACCAAAAGGAGAAAACCATGGAGGTATTTTCAATGCTATATAAAATCAAAACATAATGGGAAGATCTAAACAGTAATGCAAACTGTAAATCATTAAACACGTATTATATACTGTTCGCATATTAGTAATTGGTGTTCAAAACTAGAGAAGGAAAAACAAAGATCATTTTCAATTTCGAGCGGAGGCCGATGTAATTTCACAATGGTTTGTTATTACTGCCGTTGGTTTTGTTCTTGTTAGTCTTTATAACTGCAGATACCAAGATAGTTGCCATGCACCAAAATGATAATTCATTCTTTTAAAACAAGATTCCAGTAAGACCCAATTGAAAGGACAGTTCAAATTCTAAGGTAAGTTTTCAGAACAGGGCGACAATCAGAATAGACGAATCAAATATATGGTATCATCTCAGTTGGTACTAAGTTAAACATTCAACGGAGCAGTGATCACTAGAATGATAGGTCTGCGAGAATCAAATATAGGGTACCATCTCAGTTGGTACTAAGCAAAACATTCAACGGAGCAGTGATCACTAGACTGATAGGTCGAGAGTGTTATTCAATCCTACCCACATGGTGATTCCATCTCGAGACACAAAGACCAGAGATGAAGACTTCTGCCAGGATGATTCTTTGCATCTCTACTCAAGGCAGAATTTTACCCCACAATTTCTCACGCAATCTTGACACATGCCTCAAGATTAAAAGAAAAGAGTAATGAATACTTAAACCGTAGGATTTGGATCACATAAAATACACATAAAACTGACATAAACAACCTACATTCATGCATTAACAAATCCATTAAAGACAAGTGGCATGAATATAATTTTCTAGCTTCTAAAACAGTTTCGAGAAAGTCTTGACAGAAGAAGACACCAAAGAAATTTACATAATGTTAAACCATGAAAGCCAATTATTATAACAGGTTATGGCTTTTATATGAACCAAAGCCTAAAAGAAAGGAAATATGGACACAAAAATCACCTAGATATTGAAGTTACATGAAGGTAACAAGAATTGCACCTCGTCTGCCTCTAACAAAGAAGCAAAGTACTGAATCTGCTCTTGGCTCACATTGAAGTGTTTGAGCAGCATTTGAACTTTGTCCACATTAGATGCTGCAGTTCTCATCGCCGTTCTAAAATCGCTACGAAGCATAATCCCTAACAGGCAAACTAGCCCAATAACAGCCAAAAAGAGCAGCAAAAAGATAAGCTGTTTCATCCATTTGGAACCACTGGTTTCTCCACCCAAAGACTCCCTTTCCTTTTTCAATTTCAAGTGCATGGGAAAGTTACCATTTAAGCCAAAGAGTTTTCTGTTTAATGACATAATAATCAAACCCCACCTACATATCTTCAAGGAGAGAGTTGAGAGTTTCAAAGCAATCTCATAGACAGCTGAAAAAATCATCCACAACCACTCGAGTTTGAAAAGAACCCACCTTTAACCCCCAAAGATCCACTAGAATTTCATAAAATTCAGATGGTTTTCTCCCAGAAATTTCAAAATTCAACTGCAAAAACCTCACAACTTTCTTGAAATCTACTGATTTCCTTCAGCCAACTCAACTTTGGAAACTCCTCCAAGACCCCAGAGCTGAGAAATACTAAGAACTCCCAAAGCTGTGATGCAGAATCTACCACAAAGAAGGCTCCAAAAACACTTATCACAGGCCAGTAGCCTTCAAAATTGTTGTGTCCCAGCTCCAATTTTCGTGTTAAATGTAACTTTTCTCAGAAGAATCAGCGAAATTCTATCAATAGCTTACCACTTTGGGAGAGAACACTGATGAGAAAGAGAAAAAGGACAATCATGCAAAGGGAAGAGGCTAGCTGGTTAAAACTCAGCAGATGTTTTACTTTAGTAAACTGGGTGAAATGATTGATATGAAACAGAAAAAGAACTGGCCCAATTTTACTATATTCAGCTTCACTCCATTTCAAGAATAACTCTTTTGTGGACAGTAAAAGCAGAAGAGAACATGATGAACATAAGAAGCATCAAATATCAAGAGCTTTCTTCTTCTTCTTTTTCTTTTTTGTTTTCTTTTTCTTTTCTTTTTTTAATCAAAGAAGACTTGTTGTTTATCATGACAAATCCAAGTGGATAAAGAACCCAAATTATTTTCTTCTCTGTTACTTAACAATTACCATCTGAAATCAATGATCACAAATGAATGTGGAAAAGGGTTGCTTTTATTTTCCTTACTTTAATATTTGTTTCTTTCTTTCTCTAATGTCTCTCCATCTTTCTTGTCTTGGTGGGCATATGCCGTCGAGGTCGGGTACATCATTATCTCATCATAGCTAAAATTTAGCAACAAAAATCAAATACTCTCTCAATCCCAAAAAAAATCGTTATTTTTATGAGACGGAAAGAGTAAAACAAAAGATAATAATATGTATACTTCTGAAAGAGAGACTAACAAAGTCGGCTTTAAAGTTCATTACTTCATTACAATGAAATGAGCACAACAATCCTAGGATAATGATAGCGATGGAATACACCCATATCAGCATTTTTCAATAGTTTTCAACCATTATTTGACAGTAATGTTTTGTATTTCCTCTATGTTTCTTTTGTTTTCATATTGAAAAAGACAATTATTCGTCAAATTATTAAGTCTCAAAAAATAATTCGAATTGGTTTTGTCTGAAAACGAACTGAGTCTACTCATTGAAGAAGCAAACGAATCCAATTACTCTTAATTTGTTTTTGTTTTGTTTTTTTTTTTGAAAGGTAATACGTACTAATTTGTTAGTTTCACAATTTTGACTAATCACATATTCTTACTCTATTTTCTCTTTGAAGAAATTCAATCCCACCTACAAGATCTGCTGGTCGCCCCGATCCGCTACCAGAAATGAAAAATATGGAAAATCTTTTGCACGGAATCGAATTTCTAAAAGTAGTCTAAATTCATTAAAAAATTGTTGGGAACAAATAGTCCAGTTTGACAAAAATCAAACTTAATTTTATTAAAATAACTAAATTTCCGAATGATGAGTTGGTTCAGTGGTAAAACCACCCTTGCTCCAAGAGAAAGTCATGAGTTCAATCTCTCACTCCAACAAAAAGTAAGGGGTTGGCTCTCACCTTATCTATTGATACCTCTAGAGACTTGTTATGCTTAACCCAGTAATAAATTCCCGATTTCGCAGACTATTACAGTGACGTGGATTTACCCATTTCTAGTGGGGTTCCGACATTACTAAAAAAAAAATTACAAATAAATAAATTAAATTTCAGTAAGTTATTATTTTGAGAATAACTAATTAATGACAGTACCTTCTTAAGCTAATCACAATTACAAAATTAGATATTTGCAGAAAGATTATTTTTTTAAGACGTAAGTTTATACTTTTCGATTAGTTAGAATAAGAATTCCTTTCTATAACAAAAACTATACATAGAGCACTGGATGGATATACATTAAATTCTTCTTTCACTCGTTATGCACTATTAGCATATCCAAATCTTGCTGTCCTTATACAAATACGACGATAGTAAATTTAAGGACTAAAAAGAACATGAAATTAAAAGTATCACTTCCTATATGTAAAAAGAACCAAAGGAAAAATAAAATCGTGAAATGGCATTAAGAAAAGAGCGAAAAAAAAGGGTTAAAAAAAGAGGGAAAGAAAGTAATCAAATTGGCAAGTGGGCTGAAGGAGCATGCTGAAATGAGGCACAAGTTGCACTTTACTAGATATATACTTCGGTCTATCTTGAGAAGAACTTCATGATGTGGGCATTTAAGGGGCCCATTTGTCTTATTCGTATTACCGTGACCCACACGTACAAACAGCCAAACAGGCCATGGGCTTACCTGATGAGTTACCCAGAATTTTTTAATCTCAGTGTCTTTAACTTTTCTTTTTTTAATTTCACAATTGAATTTAAATGATCAATTCTAGATTTTTCATTTCTAAAGTAAGTAGTTTCTTTACATTTTAACACACATTTTACTATTCCATCAACCAAACTACCAAAAAAATTTGAAAATGTTTTGGATCAGTTTTATTTCTACTGTTAGAAACAGAAAACATATCTAGCAAAATTATTGAAAAAATGTCTAGCGAAATTATTGAATGGCTTATATAACGAAGATCAAATGAAATTTTCATGGTTATAGACATTCTGCCTCTTAAAGGGCTGAAATGCATGATTATGTTATATTTTCATGTGTTATTAAATTATTTAATAAGATGGAGTCATCATCTTCATTTTTTAAGAGTATGATGTAATATAATTTGAATTTTACCTTGATTATAGTTCCAACGTCCAATGTAAATTATTAAAGGACTTGTATGTAAATTTCACATTTAAACTGCAATATCATTGTACTTGATGCATTTTCACTGAAACAATCACGGGGGTTGAGTTTTGGTATAGAGAAAGGAGTGTTGCAAATATCTCATTCGTCTAATTTTGATTAGCAAAAAATCGTATATGAAAAAATTACTCTCTCTGTCCCCAAAAAGATAGTCTACATTGAGTTTTGAATTTTGTATTGTTTTTAGTACAAATTTAAAAATTTAGTGTGGACTTTATTTTAGACAGAAGTAATAATTTTTTTGGGGACTAAATGTAATAGGTTAGCGGGTCCATCGACACCAAAGTATCATATAAACAATTTGTCATCTCCTAGGTCCCATTGCGTATAATTCATAATGTAGGGGTCAAAATGTAATTTCTAATAATGGGTCAGAAATATATAAGTTCGGCTTTGTAAACGACATTGTCAGAATATATACAGTTTTTTTATTATTTCGGTTAATACAAGATTAAACCATACAATTGAAGCTATTATATTCTCCAGTTGATAGCCTCCAAGAAATTGAAGCGTTCGAATCAATCCTCCATCCAAGAATCCCAAACACATAAATTTTTGGTTCTAAAGAGACGTATTTTATTAATGAATTGCTAGAAAAACATAAAACACGATTTAAGGTACAAAACGGAGTCATAATATTTCTTAAAACCAGACTTGTATTTTTGCGTGTTGGGCTAAACTTTTATTGAATCTATTGTTAACCCAACAACAACTAAAGTCTGACAGTTTCTCAAAACGGGCTTTCACATTAGATAAAATAAGGTACGAGAGATCATGATCATCTGATTGAAGGCGATGGATTACCGAAGATTAGTATCCCACCAGAGTGAAGCGAGGTTTGCCCTTTGACAAAGCTTGTGCCACTTCATCCTGCGCCGGAAGAGCTAGAACAAAAGGTGAGCGGGGGCACATTATAAATTATTAACACAAAGTTTCGAAAAAATTTTTATTTAAGCAAATGTATAAAGAAAATTAAAGTCAATGTATGTATCTTATTTTGATTTGTCGGTTGTCATTGTTGTTGTTGTTTTTTTTTTTTTTTAACCATTTCCATACGTAACTACAAAGTATGCAAATAAAGTAATACTTTTCCAATGAATCTATCTGATTTAATAATTTATTCCCAATCCAACTCAACAATCCTAATAAATAGATATAAATAATAGTTAAATAATTTCTACAAATTTAAAATTATACACTTATAGAAGACAAGAAATATGTATAAATGGACATATTTATGGGGCTTTCTATTCTTTACTAGGTTTTTTGTGTCGCGCGACCAGTGCATTATCAAAGCATTTTATTTCATTCTTGTTCGGAAAAACTTTAGATTTTGAACAGTAGAAATTTTGGCATAAGCCTTATTTGAGACGAAAAGTGTATTTATTTATTTTCATTAAATTCAGACTAATAACACATTCTTTTACATAGGAATCACAACAAAAACTAAATTCTGAAATAGTATAAATTTCAAGAACTCGTAATTTATAATTGAAAATTTTAATAGTATTTGATATGCAAGGTTCTACACTTTTAAGATTTTAGTAGACTTTATGATTTTTTTCCAAGTCAATAGTGGCAAAGTGCTATTTTATTATCAATGAATATGTTTTTTCCAATGTTATTGTTCATTAGTAATGTCTCGTTTTTATTATCCTTAACCTTATATGTTTTTATAACCTTTGGTGAGTAAATTAACTACAGTATTGTTTATGGTGAGTTATGGAGGAGTAGTAATTATTTTGAATTGTATAATCGATTACGCTAGATAGATTATGATTTATTGACAAGTTTGAAAATTATTTGAATAGATTAATTTAAAGGTCAATAGATTATTATTATGAAGATTTTTGTCTAATAAAAAAAAATGCGCATGAAACAATATTAGATTGTGTTTTTGTGCCATCAATCTGGTTTACGCCCGCATTTCATTGAGCCCCCCAAAAAACACTCCCCCCCTCCCACCAAAATACTTACAAGTCTATTACCAGTAAGTAGTAATCTTATACATTGGTCAAAGGATGTTATATAGTTGATGAAAGATTCGTTCTTGATGCCACCGACAAGTGATCAATTGGTTAGGCTTGATTAACCAGCACATCTTCCGCAAACCATTCCCCGCCTGTTTCAGAGACAAGAAGATGATTACAAAACCGTTAAAAGGTTTCTTCCAAGATTGGCCAAAAAAATAAATAAAATGATAGTAGTATCTGCAAAATCTTTCATTTCGGAAGTTTAAACACAGCTTTCACATTCTAAACTTTTTCAATAAGAAAGGTGGAGAATGTGCATGATCAAGTTGAAATGTAGCAACTTACACAATGAAGCAGCCAAAGGTTCTGTGCCTTCTTTTTCTAGCAACTTCTTTCCTCCATGGAGGTTGGGGAACAGCTTTGATGGCAGTGTCAAACGCAGCTTTCACTTTCTAAACAAGTAACAATTTCACTTTGTAGCATCAGCCTATAATATCCAACTCGGAAAAATATTTATCTCAGGCACAGGAAAATGGGATAATATCAACAAACCTGCTGTGTTTTTGAGCTGCACTCAATATACAGTGCTGCCCCAATTTGTTTTCTCAGCTCCTCACCCTATAGAACTCAGAAGTCAGAAAAATTCCTTCTCATCAGAAATTGTGTCCATGACCAGTGTGGTAAGTAGTAACCTAGGATTACAAGTGAAGAAAAGAGGTACCTGAGCAGACGTGATAACGTTAGACCCCATATGATCAGCCATGTATCCTCTATCATCACGAAGATCTTTCAAGCAAGTTCACAGAATTTTGGTCCATCATACAGCCTGAAATGCTCCAATCTG